GTTATCAAATCGTAGGAGCTTTCTCCAAGCTTAGAAACAGCTCTTGCCAAAACTTCATCGTCAGAATGGCAATCCTTTTCGTCGTAGATGACTTTGTACACTGGATCGACAAAGTCTATCCATTCTTGTTTTACGCCGTCATGAAAAGTGTTGTGTATAACATTGACTTTGGATATTCCGTCGTGCCATAAAACGATGCAATGATGCCTTGGATGAGCAAAGTGGCGGTACGAAACTATGTGGTCTCCAGTTTGTAACTCTGTGATGTCTTTTACTGCTTTGTCATCTGTCTTTATGAACTTCGTTATTGCTCGACCAATATAAGGTCCAAGCCAGGAACCGACAAGTTTTCCACACGTTCCACCAATTATCCCCACAAAGATGCCAAGTGGTCCAGCCACCAAACCACCAGCTGCCGCCAGTCCACCAGCAAGTATCGCCTCGGTGACTCGTTTTGTGACTTCCTCAATGAAAACTTTTCTTGTTAGATTGCCATCTTTTCTTTCTCTGTACAACTTTTTGATGTCGATAATTGTTATTACACCTTCGATGACAACCACAAGACCAAAACCAATCCATTGTTGGTTGTTAGCTACTTTCTCTACTGCTTCTGCGGTACTCACCTTAACAGTTTGTGGAAAGAAGGACGCCTTTACGAGTTCCAATGATTTCCCGGTAAGTGAACCGAGAGCTTTTTGTAACTGATCAACCATCCCTTTCCGTAGCCAGCGAACCTGTTGACTTCTTTCCACTCCCTTTTTACAGAATGCCGCAAACGATTCGCAGTTATCTCTAAAGAGGTCGTAGCCTTTGTCACCGAGTCGTGAACGAGCTCTGGCTAAAACAAGGCGGGGCGGATTCTCCTTTATTACTTCTTCACTGTAATCCATACGGTAGAGTTTCCCACGTTCCTTTTTCAAGTCAATCAGCTCCTCTGTAATTTGCGCCATCTCTCCCTTTTGACTACTCCAGTGAATCACTCGAACTTTATTTCTTTCAGTGTCTACAGCTGTGACCACTGCGTGATGCCATATCACGTATGGCCTTTTCCAAGCGATGTGGTCCCCAGGTTTGAGGTAATCTGCACACAGGCTTAGATTGGTTATCTCTGTTCTGGTTGGATGCACCATGTGAACACTGCTATCCGTCGTGTCAATAGCTACCGTCTTCTTGTAAAAATTTTCCTTCCCGAGGTAAAGGCAGTTCTCTTGACTGGGTGATACGAGTAAAGCTTCTTTCAAGTATTCCCATTCACACTTTACACAAAACGCTCCCAGGAGCTCATCACCATCATAGTAACGCCGAAATTTTGATGCATCGCTGTTGTCACACTGAATACATTTGGCCCCATTAGCAAGATGGACAAATCCTTCCATATTTGCCATTGCACTTGCCGTACAGTTGTTGCTTAGACACAATAGGATCTAAGTTAAAAAATGAGAGTAAGCCATCAATAGTTTGCTGCCGCTACAGCTGTGATCATCGCTTTTGTAACAAAGACCACTGAATAATTTTATTTTCACAAAATATGACCATAAAGGAGAGCCTTGCTGTGTCTATCGATAAAATTAATATGGGTTTGAAAAGGACTCGTTTAAAGCGGCTATGTCACACAATTTTAGACAATGTCATGACACATCAGATGTTCATAGAATAAACTAAAACATCACGATAACCACTTACAAGTGTAGAACAACATAAAAAAACTACAACAAAGCTAAAGAATTGAAGTGTTATCAGCTTTTATTAAGAACTGAATTACTGATATCAGATTTCCAGCATTTTCATTGGCTCGCCGGACTCAGGCTATCAGTTCATATACCTGCCGTACCTAGTATGGTCAAGGGACGCGTCATCAATAAAGCAAGCTGAAAACATTTTTGCAGCTCTGAGAAGTAAAAATAAAATAGAATAAAATAAACATGGAAGAGTTGTTTAACCTGGAGTTTTTAATAAAACAATTCTCCAGCGCGCCCTCGTAGAATAATTGTTAAATGTACTGTACGACCTTATCTGGAAACTGATTGCGCCAAGTAATTGCTAGCTGACATGAAACAATTATGCCATTCGTGATTGTTGGATATGAGCTTGGTTATAGCCGATTCGACGCCTCGTTGGCTATTTACCATCTTATATCCAACACGCTCTCGTGGAATAATTAATAAATATCCTGGCATGGGGAAATTCCCATCTTCCTCTTTCGCTTTCGGATCGAACGAAAACGTCAATACTAGGAGGATAAACACCCTATCAAGTGACATGGGAAATTTCCCTTAAAATGTTCTTTTGCTTTCGGTCCACTGAATACAGTTTATGCTTGTCGATAAAGTATTTAAAAAAAATTAAATATCAGGGATTTGAAAAGGACAAATTTCACTGAGGCCATTTTGATAAAGAAGTAGTGCTATAGTAATAGTAATTGTAATAGTTTATTGATATCCCCCTCGCAGCCCAAAGGCTGAATTACAAGAACGGTCAGTGACAATAACAGGAGACAATAGAGTGTTTTCACTCACGTGGCCACCATCTATGCAAATTTATTGGAATAAAAGAAAGCGTTTGCATAAGAAAAGAGTACAACTCCCAGAGGATTGGTTTGGGACACCAACATGGCCGCCGTTTCATTGTTTTGGGACACCAATAGGGACCTTAAGCAAAGACGTTTTTGAGTCACGCACGTCAACCGGAAGTGAGCCGTTCTCCCTTTTTATATGCCTTGACGCTAACAAACTTGTATTGCTGAGTTTCTTCTCTCTTTTAAAGACGATTTACCTGAGAGTTTCAACCAAACCATTCCCAGTGATGCAAAAATTCCACTTCCGGTTGACGTCCGTCGCTCAAAAACGCTGTTGCTTAAGCTCCCTAATATGGCCGCCGTGACGTCACGTGAAAACACTCTATACAATACAAAGACAATCAAATAGATAATTATGTAAATATGATTAAAAGCACTACATAACAGAGAAAAAATAACAGAGCACAGGACTAAAACAGGTCTTGAAACTTAATGGTGCAGAAATCTGCGAACCGCTTTGTCTTGGGGACAAGGCGCACCGGAACACGTTCGCCTGAACGGAGGCAGTATGGCCTGTCAATTGACACACAAGGAATTAATGGCTTGAGTACCGGAGACGGCAGGCAGTCACACTTGATAAAATTTGTGCAAGCTTCCTCCCTTCTCTGGGAAAGGACAGTGATGCCAGACTGAATTAGGGCGTCGTCATGGTGACAATTCGGCAAAACGATGCGTACGGCCTCTTTTTGTACAGATTCTATAGTGTCCTCTAAATACTTTGGCAGGGCAGCCCAAACAGGGCTAACAGAACCCCCAACGGTAAGGGGGACAGGGGGGGGGGGGATGGGCTATACTGCATAAAGTTAATGATCATTTATTTACATTTCTTTGAATTAAGTTTCATGCCTCTAAAGGAAGCATATGTATAGATATCGGATACTGTCAAAGGTAGGTAAGACGGCGATCACCTAGGGATGATTTCCATGGCAGTAGCATCATCTACATACTTGACTCTGCTTTTACACTTAGCTGCCATTCCATTTACTAGAATGCAGAAGAGCAGGGGGGCGAGTTTGGTACCCTGTGGTGTCCCGCCATTGAGCTCGACGGGGGGAGATAAAGAATTCCCAATCCTAACCCGCTGACTCCTATTTGTTAAAAAAGCAGCAATCCACCTAACAAGATGGGGGTCAACATCTAAATTATTTAGTTCACTTAACAGTACATTGTGGTCCACAAGATCGAAGCCTTTACTAAAGTTTGAGAAGAAAATTCTGATGCATCTGCCACGAGTGTCCAGTGCTTCTAAAATAGTGTGTATAAAGAAGATAACAGCCTGAGTCGTCGAGCGACCAGGAAGAGCAAATTGCTTAGTACTTTGGCTATCGGAGAGGTCAGTGAGATGGGTCTCAAGTCATTTTCTACAGACTTTGGAGGTCGAAGCTTTGGAACTGGGACCACAATGGCTTGCTTCAGTTGCGTTGGGAAGTAACCTTGTTCCAGTGACGAGTTGTAGATATCCGCCAGAGCTGGGGAAAGCTCAAAGGCGAATTCTTTCCATACAACAATAGGAATTCCATCCGGACCAGGTGATTTCTTTGTCCTCAAAGCACAAAGAGTCTTATAGACTTTGTAGTCCGAGACGTAGAGATGCTGCGGCACAGGACCCAACATAGCAGGCAGAGGTTGTTAAGATCTTAACACCTAATCATTAGTGTCGTATTCTTCGGGGTCATCCAACGAGCAAATTAAGCAAAAAAAACCTTTGAGGGACATTTCTTTTGTAACGTTTAAAGACTGTTTAAAGAGATGTTTTTATCAGCTAGAAAAATTTAATCTGTTCGGATTTCCTACCTAAAAATTGAAGTGCCCGGAAATTTTAGGGAATGAACTCTTCATTTCAGAAATTGCTAGATGAACGTTACCTTCGACGAACTAGTCACCCAACTATTTCGGCTTACCCAAAAATGCTAGGTGCCACCTTCTTAAGAGCCAGTAAGGGACTATTTTCCCCTAAAGCATATCACCAAATGTCTATGCTTCAGATCAAAGAACAAATTCACTTTCTCAATGCTAACAATAATTTTTAGACGGAAATAGACCTAGCAGTGAATTTTCGTGGTAGAGATTGCGTGACCCTATTCAATTCAATTCAATTTTATTATTCACACTTTATAAAATATTAACATTGTATATAGTAAGGTAAGAATACACTACTAATGTAGAAGAAGAAGGAAAAAAAGAAAATTAATGGCTTCGGTAGAAGTGTACGGTGGTCAGAGGAGCTTAGCTTTCGAGCTAACCACCGCTATATTATGACTGGAAATACACAATAAACGTTCGCTTGGTGCCATGGCAACTATGGACGATTATGCCAGCAGTCAGGTTACCGTAAAATTCCGAAAATAAGCCCCGGGGCTTATTTTTCAAAGGCCCTTTTTGAGGGGCTTATTTTTGGAGGGGCTTATCTACGGAGGGAAATTTGCGTTTCAAACTTGATTGGCCTAGCCTTGTAGTTGGAAGTAAATTTACCGTTTTTGCTTTGTTTTACTTTGTATTTGAGGGCAATTTTCCAAGTACAAGCCCTCGGGGGGCTTATATTTGGAGGGGCGATTTAACGGAGGGTTTTTTGCGTTACCGGTTTGGGGGGCTTATATTTGGAGGGGCTTATACATGGAGGGGCTTATTTTCGGAATTTTACGGTATGTGAGACAGTCATATTACAATTGTTATCTTTGACAGTGAACTAGAATTCGCTTATATTCTTTTTTGAACTTGTGGTAGCTAAGTGTTTTTATATTAGTAGGAATCTCTTCCGAAGTTTTGGTTATGGCAAACTTAAATGTGTGTTTGTCATAATTTGACCTTACACGTGGTACATGAAAGTTAAGATTTGAGGCATATCTGGTATTGTGTGAGTGAATATCAGACACTTTTACAAGGTAGTTTCGAAACACTTCAGGAATATTGGCTTCATTTTGTGAGATTTTGTGAGCTAGCTAGGAGATTTTGAGTTTAAAAATGCTATCTATGTTTAAAAGTATATCGGCTGTGGGGTACGCATTTAATTGGGGCATGTTTATTGGCTATGCCTTTAAGTTTTTCGACAAAGCTGCTGGCTTTAGTGTGGATGTCGGTTGGATCATTTAGGATGCTAGTCCAGTCAACTGACTTTATGTCATTCAGATAGGTCTTACAGTCAAATTTGAATAGTCCCTGAAGAATCTCTTTGGTTTTAGCCTTGTTATCTGTCTTCTAATGAAACAGAAAGTTTGCAAGTGGTCTGATATGTCAGTGGTTACAATACCAGGTATGATTTGGTCAGTAGAGGCATTTGTGTAAATATGATCAATAAGAGTTGCGGTATGGCTTGTGATCCTAGTAGGTTTTGTTATGACTGGGAGGAGGTTACTACTGTATAGCATATCAAGGAAGTCTTCAGTTTTGGAATGTGTACCTACTCTTAGAAAGTCAATATTCATGTCCCCTAGGATAAAGACCTGATGCGTGTATGGATTGGTTTAAAGGACTGACGAGGTTTTCTAGTTGAGATATAAAATTAGCAAGATTAGACGAGGGGTGCCTGTATATACATCCCACAATTATGCTAGGTTTGTGTTCCTGTAAGATTTCAATCCAGCAGGATTCTGCCTCAACAGAATTAAAGCTTAAATCTGACCTATGAATTGCATTTAGGGAGGATGAGATGTAAATACCAACACCACCAGCAGTAAAAATTGGTAAAATTTGTAGTTAGGAAGATCTATGTTTGCTGATGTGTTACAATCAATTCTAGTTTCAGTTACAGCAATTACATCAGGTATATTATTAAAGCAATATAAACGGTCATGTAAGAGCTCGAAGCTGAAGTCACTGACATTACCAGAAACAAGTACAAATCTAAATTCTCTTTCATCTGAAGAAGCCATTATTAACCCTTTGAGCCCCAATATACATGCACAAATTCTCCAAACTGATCTCTATACATTTCCTTAAAGAATGAGTTGAGAGAATTTGATAAAAGATCAAGGCATTTTCTCATAGGTGATCATTTTATTAATTCTCATAACCTAATCTCTTGACATTGTAGGGATATTGTTAGGAGAAAATTGATGTTGGTCACTATTGGGACTTAAAGGGTTAAATAACTACTAAGTTACAACAAGGAGTATTAACCAGATATTAAAGTTTCATTGTGATGGAGCAATGAAGTCTTCAAATTCTTCAAATTTTGTAAATGTAAATGTCTGTGAGGTTTCATGTTTACGTATATAGATCTTACCATTATTGTCCATAGGAATTTGTACTTGTCTTCCTTCTTAAATTTGTTTACCCTTCCAAAGAGTTCACTGCAATACTGGGTTAGGGATTCATTGATGTACATAGGCGAGTCTTGGTGGATGCTTTTCCCCATCTCACAAGCCACGGATGGAAGCACGCTTGCTTTTTTCCCGCCGAGGTGCTTGCGTGACTTGTAGAATTAGTCACGCTTTTCTCTACGGACGAATTTGACAATAAATCTGTCCTTGTCTGTCCCTTTAGTATCGGGCAATCGGTGGGCTATCGCAATGTCCTGCTTGTCGATTGTTACACCGATGAGCTGGCCCATTTTTTGTGTTAGATTTGCTGGAGAAACTAAAGGCAATACTAAGATTCCTGAAATTTCAAGGCAGTCTCTCCTCGAGCACTGTTGGATGGAGTCTATGGCTGCTTGGGCATCGTAGACTGAGCCATTAAGATGGTTGATTTTGTTGTCTTGGGCTTCGCACCAGTTGTTAAGATCGTTTATCTGTTTCTTGGTCGACTGCATTGACTTTAAAACGGAATCGTATTTATCGCTGATCAATTGCTGTGACGATTGCCCCCTGAATCGGGTCGAGACGCTTTGACAGATTAGTTATCAGGCAGTTTACCTTTTCAATTTCAGTCTTCAGTTCGTTTCTGATTTCTTTCTTGATGTTGGGAAGGAATTCTGTCTTCCAGAT